AGAAAGGAGGAGAAAGGCGCCATAGGAACGGGCTGAGAGAAATAAATGCATGTCGAGTGATGTGAGTGAAATTATAGAAATAGAGTAAAGCGAGATGCAAAGACAATGGCAAGAGATGAGAGAGAGCTTAAGAAAGAGAGAGAGGCAGAAGAAAGGATGAAGGAGATGAGCTGAGCAGAGAGAGAGAGAGTAGAGAGTCTGATGAGATAAGATGAGGGGGAGGGAGAGAGGGAGAGTAAGAAAGTGCGTTATTTGGCGCGAAAGAAATAGCTGTGTTATTTTTGATTGAAAACTACTCGCCGAGATATTAGCGCAGATATTGGAGTTAGTAGGAGAGTATATGACAATAGTAATAGATAAAATATAGAGGCGTCTCGAGTATGTGTGCCGCAAAGAAGATGAGGACCAAGATTAGTGAGAGAGAGAGAGAGAGAGAGAGAGAGAGAGAGACGGGGGGGGGGGGGGATATAGAGAGGGAATTACCAGACGTGTGAAAAACTAAACAAGATGTAATAGGCCTAGTCCATACAGACTGCAAATGCGATCCTACAACAGCTCGAACTGAATTTTAATAGTGTGTAACAACGCTGTCCTCTTATAGGTTAGCCACCACTCCAACTATAGGTGAGCCAGGCACGGTTCACGGCGTTCCAAATTGTCCCGTAACATTTGTCGCATAGTATTGCTGCTGGGTGGCATATTACACGATAACCTGAGAACGCGTAGTAGTAGTACAACGTAGCCCGGTTCTGGCCCGATAAAGATTTTGTGCATGCATGTGCACCCAGTTTCAGTGTGCACCAGGCCCGGGTCTTTCCGGATTAGATCGATGCATTATCAAACTTTGCAGTCTGTACGAGGTGTTGTTGAGATACAGGCACGAACCACTATGTGAGGCACAATTTTCTTTAAATGAGTTCGTGTTCAACCAACTTAAATTTCAAACAAGTTTGTTTTGTCTACGCCAATTTCACGGCCTTCAACAGTCTTGACAGGTGCTCGTAAGTTAATTGTTTTATAAATACGACATAATTGCTTTTAAACAAATAGGACTGAAACGCGCGTAAAAATGTCAAAAAAGCGAAGGCTAAAAGGGATATGAAAATCATTACTGAGTGCACCCGTTTTGTCATATTTTTTCCGACCGCTTGCTGAATTATCCTTTACCCGGGCATTGGTATATTTTTATGCCTTTCATATTGGCCTGCACATTAGCTTTCAGAATGTTGGGCTCACTTTAATCTCTATAACATGTGCGAAAATTTTATTCAAGATAAAAAAGGCAGCTTATTATGTGGAATGGATATATATATATACTAGCTGCGGGTACCCGCTGCGCTAGGTAAAATCGTGCTACTAATTCATACTACCAGGAGCTAATAATGACAAATTTGTCATTATTAGCTCCTGATACTACTAATAATGGGACACAATAGGAACATTGGGTAAAAATCGACAATAACATTGCACACAATATCAATATTTACAAATCAGTGTAATAAGATAATAAGCATGGGAAAAAACTGTTACGTATGCCATTTATATGACAGCACAACCCCTGGGACATAATGATAATATGGTGTAAATGACGAAAAGTTATTATAACAGCATGTACGAATGGGTTGGACTTTTCATTGCAAAGCCTCTTGATAAACAATGTTTTTCGTGTTATTCTCTGGTGCAAATATGTAGAGATTCCTGGCGTCTCCGACTCTTGAGCTCCCCACGTACAGCTATCTATTGTGAGATCGTACCATGAATAAAAGAAATTCCATATATAGTATAGATAGAGACAGGCCAGCGAGTGGGGTCTGTGTCCACTGGATATTGTCTAGGAACCTCTGTTGTTGAGATGGGTTATTGTTGGAATTTTTCTACTGAATCAGAAAATGCATAGCTCTCGAATGGTACAATGCATTCTGAGATCGTAGCATCTGAACTGAACCACTGAACTCACTGAGTAGTACCTCTGAACTGGTCCTGGTTGTGCTCTGTTTTAGTATTGGTTTCGGTTTCAAAATACCAGCAGCTGATGAGGTGATTGCGGGAAAGAAATATAGTCATCGATTTTTCTGTGTGTGGCAGCACTGTACAGTGAGCGCTGACATTGTCTGAAGTTTCACGAATTTACGGATTTTTCAGTGAGTTTCACGGTTTGACAGATTTTTTTCGTCTAGGAACACTCCCCGGCTATAGGAAATCGCCCTCTGAAAATTGCATCCAGATCGCTTGGGCGGTTTGGCCGTGCATAGGGTACGATACAATCACACGCGCACCCACACACACACATACCACATAGACGGGCGCGCACGTGCATGCGCACGCACACGCACACGCGCCCGCACGCACACACCGCATTCACACACATACGGGCATGCGCACGCACACACCGCATTCACACACATACGGGCATGCGCACGCACAATCACACGCGCACCCACGCACACACATACCACATAGACGGGCGCGCACGTGCACGCACACGCACACGCACACGCAC